TATGCACGAGATCAACAATCACTATTATATTTGTATGTAATTTCTATCTCGTTCTAAACAATTTTTATAACATGCTGTATCTCATGTGTGTGATTTTATTTTCTAAAACAGTTTTTTCTCGTTTTGCAAACACATATCCACCAGTGAGTACGTATTTGTATCCATCCTTTACCTGTTACCTATGCCTTAATTATTTTTATATTTTTTCTTCATTTTTCATAAAACTTTAAATTTCAGAGAAGTACTTCAGAGTAACATGTTCTTCTTCTTATTATTATCATCACTATTTCCTTCTTGGGTGTGTACAGTTTCAAATCTTTACAAAATGAGTAAGGCTTTTACCTATTAGCTTTGTTGGTTTTGCTTTTTCTTTCTTATGAAGTCAATTATATAGTTGCATGGTTTTATATCATCAATCTGAATTTCTACTATTATATCTCATTATATTGATCAGTGATATCAGTATGAGGTTTATAAAATTTATAATCTACTGGAAGGATAACTCCGTGGTATATATTCATGTGACCTCAATTTACTGAGATCAATAGAGTTGAAAGAAAAACAGCAGATAATTCCACCAGTTCTTGCCACAATGAATATACTAATTGTTTGACATGTATTAGTAGTGAAGCATAAATGTTAAATAGATACTTCACTGATCAGATGAATCTATATATCCTGTGTGAGTAAATAAATATCAGAATAACTCACCCTTTTACAGACGAATTGGTTGGCTTTTTGCCTACATATTTACTCCAGTTTCTCCTCATGGAGGAGCAAAGGCCACCCAAGAGCAGGCTCCATCAGACACTTTCCTGCGCAATCCTTTCCAGTTGTTATTCATCTTTTTCATGTCTTCTTCTATCTCCCGACGTAGTGTTCCCTGGCCTTCCTCTTTTCCACTTCCCTTCGAGATTCCAAGTTAGGGCTTGCCTCGTAATGCCATTTGATACTTCCCACGGTGTATGTTCTATCCACCTCCAACGTCTTTCCCTAATTTCCTCTTCAGTTGGAAGCTGGTTTTTCTCTTCCATAGTGGGCTGTTGTTGGTAGTATCCAGCCAATGGATGTTGAGTATCTTGCGTAGACAACTGTTTATAAATACTTGCACCTTTTTGATGATGGATGTAGTAGCTCTTCAAGTTTCAGCTTCGTATAGTAGAACTGTCTTGACGTTCGTATTGAGGATTCTGGCTTTGATAGTGGTTGACAGTTGTTTTGAGTTATATATGTTTTTCAATTGTAGGAATGCGGCCTTTGCTTTGCCAATCCTCGCCTTTACGTCTGCGTCCTATCTTTCTTGTTCATCGATGATGCTTCCCATGTACGTTAAGGATTCCAGATCTTCATCATCAAGTGTGATTGGATTGTTGTTCTCCGTGTTACATTTGAGGATCTTGCTTTTTCCTTCGTGTATGTTGAGGCCTATTGATGCAGAGGATGCTGCTACACCAGTTGTCTTCATCTTCATTTGTTCGTGTGTATGGGATAGGAGGGCCAGGTCATCTGCGAAGTCCAAATCGTCTAGTTGATTCTGGGCTGTCCGTTGTGTCCACAATGTCCTCCTATCCATACTGTCAAACGCCTCATGGCCAAGGAATTTGATGTATAGTGACGAGTTCCATTCGGTTGATTGCTCAACGGTGCTCCATAGTGTCGCAATTTGGTCTACGCACAACCGATCGTTACGGAATCCAGCCTGTTGATTTCGAAGTTCAGTGTCTACTGAGTCTTTCATCCGGTCCAGCAGCACTCTGTTGAAAACTTTTCCTGGTACTGACAGCAGTGTGATGCCTCTGTAGTTCTCGCACTTGCTCAGATCTCCTCTTGTATCTTGATGAGGTATCCTTTTTTCCAACCCGTCGACACTTGTTCCTCCTCCCAAATCTTAAATAGAAGGTGGAGCATGTTTGCAGTTACTTCAGATGATGTTTTGTCAGGTCCTGCTGCTTTCCCGCTTTTGATTTGTCTGGTCTATTTAAAGATCCTTCAACCTACTCTGCCTATCTGTTCCTCTGTTCCTGAATTTCTTTGGTTGGCCTGCCTTCTTTGTCCTTGACCGATCACTCTGCTTTTCTATATCTCCCTGCTAGTTTCTTTGTTGTATCATATTTCCTTCTCTTGCAGCTTTTTCCACCGTCTTTGCTAGTTCTTCCGCGTATTTCTGCTTGTCGGCCTTAATGATCCTCACTTGCTTGAATAACTCTTGCTCTTCAACTGAGCTCCTTCACAGCGATAATGGTTTGAACAATTGTCTTCCTCTATATAAGCCTCTCGAAACACATGTGCACTTGCTAGTTTGTCTAGATCTACAAGCTAGAATTTTAGTAGCTTGAGATCTGACTCCAGGTAGGTCGTATGAATGTTTGTTATTCGAAACATACATGCTGGCTATCCTCGCATATAATCATCGACTCAAATAGCGTTAGTGAATAATGCAATTAAATAAGTCAAATAAGAGAATGTAATTCGAGTACGTATATCTCATACAATGGTTGATTGGAAAGAGAAGCAATGCAAAATGACGCGCAATGGAGAAGGATGGTGAGCCGGCTCCATTTAACCAAGCGTTAACCGATATTTATAGTTGAACAAAAACAAATTACAGACATGTGATGAATAGAGTAAGAAGTGAACACACGTATGCTTACATTAAAACAGTCAGGGTGGATAAGTGAATAAGTAACATGGTCAAAATTTGATTTAAGGAGGATGAATAGGTTGATCTGTCCGGAGGCTAGAACAACTTATGTAGGTTTGACATACGTATCAATCCCTGCGATATATTTTGTTCGATTTTGAAATTTTACCTCAAGAAGACATGGGAGTAATAAAATGTCACTGATATGTGAATAAATTATTTCTCGAATTAAATGTATCTATATAATAGAAGAATAATCAGTGGTTGTCGAATTGTTTGGGAAGCTTCGTCGAAGTCATGTATGACTGACGATAGTTTGTTAGTCGGTGACGCAGCAGTGCGGTAGTAAACAATCATTCTCTACGCCTGACTATTGACGACCTGTCCTATATTCTTTCTATTATCCCAGAAAGTTTGCATGGCAAGATTTCGTTTAATCCGGAATGAAATAATTTCAAACTCAAGTGTCTTTCCAAATCTCCGATTCTCACTTTACAAACAATATATATCTTTGTGTTTCTCTACAACTCTTGAGGTGACCTAACACTTTAATCATTCAAATACACTAGAGACGTATTTGAGAGAAAAACTAGCAAGTGCACATGTGTTTCGAGAGGCTTATATAGAGGAAGACAATTGTTCAAACCATTATCGCTGTGAAGGAGCTCAGTTGAAGAGCAAGAGTTATTCAAGCAAGTGAGGATCATTAAGGCCGACAAGCAGAAATACGCGGAAGAACTAGCAAAGACGGTGGAAAAAGCTGCAAGAGAAGGAAATATGATACAACAAAGAAACTAGCAGGGAGATATAGAAAAGCAGAGTGATCGGTCAAGGACAAAGAAGGCAGGCCAACCAAAGAAATTCAGGAACAGAGGAACAGATAGGCAGAGTAGGTTGAAGGATCTTTAAATAGACCAGACAAATCAAAAGCGGGAAAGCAGCAGGACCTGACAAAACATCATCTGAAGTAACTGCAAACATGCTCCACCTTCTATTTAAGATTTGGGAGGAGGAACAAGTGTCGACGGGTTGGAAAAAAGGATACCTCATCAAGATACAAGAGGAGATCTGAGCAAGTGCGAGAACTACAGAGGCATCACACTGCTGTCAGTACCAGGAAAAGTTTTCAACAGAGTGCTGCTGGACCAGATGAAAGACTCAGTAGACACTGAACTTCGAAATCAACAGGCTGGATTCCGTAACGATCGGTTGTGCGTAGACCAAATTGCGACACTATGGAGCACCGTTGAGCAATCAACCGAATGGAACTCGTCACTATACATCAAATTCCTTGGCCATGAGGCGTTTGACAGTATGGATAGGAGGACATTGTGGACACAACGGACAGCCCAGAATCAACTAGACGATTTGGACTTCGCAGATGACCTGGCCCTCCTATCCCATACACACGAACAAATGAAGATGAAGACAACTGGTGTAGCAGCATCCTCTGCATCAATAGGCCTCAACATACACGAAGGAAAAAGCAAGATCCTCAAATGTAACACGGAGAACAACAATCCAATCACACTTGATGATGAAGATCTGGAATCCTTAACGTACATGGGAAGCATCATCGATGAACAAGAAAGATAGGACGCAGACGTAAAGGCGAGGATTGGCAAAGCAAAGGCCGCATTCCTACAATTGAAAAACATATATAACTCAAAACAACTGTCAACCACTATCAAAGCCAGAATCCTCAATACGAACGTCAAGACAGTTCTACTATACGAAGCTGAAACTTGAAGAGCTACTACATCCATCATCAAAAAGGTGCAAGTATTTATAAACAGTTGTCTACGCAAGATACTCAACATCCATTGGCTGGATACTACCAACAACAGCCCACTATGGAAGAGAAAAACCAGCTTCCAACTGAAGAGGAAATTAGGGAAAGACGTTGGAGGTGGATAGAACATACACCGTGGGAAGTATCAAATGGCATTACGAGGCAAGCCCTAACTTGGAATCTCGAAGGGAAGTGGAAAAGAGGAAGGCCAGGGAACACTACGTCGGGAGATAGAAGAAGACATGAAAAAGATGAATAACAACTGGAAAGGATTGCCCATGTCAGTGTTGTTTCTAGATCGGATTGTTAATTTTTAATATCTGGTTTATCAATGATTATGTGCTTTATAAAGCACATGAAATTCCCTAAAATTGTCCCCAATCGCTTTTACGTTGAAAATGTTCACAGGTTAGACTATACAGTCTCACTGCCTGATAAGTTATTTAGTTTGATATATTTCTTCGTGAAACGTTAAGTAATACTAACGGTTGCTTTGATCCTGCAGAGTAGTAAATATCGTCTCCATGGTTAATTCGATTTTTTGTTTTATCAGTTTTCTTATAATTTGTTACTCTTTAGCGGCTTTGTGCTCAAGGACATTTAGGAACTGATGTTTTGGGCGTGCATCTGTAGTTCACATTCTGAAGTCGTCTTCTTAACCTAATATACAAGGTCTGTTATTATGGAAGTGATTGTTAAACTATTTTATGTGAATTTTACAGCTTACCTTTTACCTTATCTGTCTACTTCCAGCGTTTCGTCTGATTTTCCTGTTGGTTCGCGTACCACTCCTAATACATTCATTGTACTAACCAACTGTCATAAAGTTTTGCTTATTGATTCTGAACAAGTCTCTCATCAATGTCAGAATCGATCTTTCAGGATTTATCTGCTCAAGTCAGGGTTCCTGGTGACGGGGATAAGGTTTTCAAGGATGAATGTCCTTTTTCGTTTGAGACACCTGAGACAGAAAAAGGAATATACATATGCATGCGACACTTCGTTGCAATTGGCTCCAAAATCCTTAGGCTTTACTATGAGAAAACTGGTTGTCGTGCTTTCTTAAGATACAAGATCGAAAAGCAATTCAAAGATAAGGGTATGTTTTTAATCTTTTGGTATTTCACTTCCACCTTATTTCAAGATACAAAGTAAAAATTGTAACTCCAAGTTTTCGGGCACAAGTGTATGACTCTGCTTGCTAGAATTAGATAGTTTTCTTTGAAACCCTTGATTTTTTAAAGTCACTTGTACTGTATTTCTCAGGGTACTTTACACAGCAAACAATGTTGCTTATGTATTTGTCCGGTTGTTCCACATTATCCACTATTCATACCGATTTGTGAGACTTGAGATATGTAGGTTGTTTTCTCTTTTTATGGTCAGTATCATTTGGTATTATTTAATTGGGAATTAATTCACAGGAAAATGTAATCAAGTGAGTTTCATCATCTTTGTGTCTAGATAAGAGGGAGGTTGATTATGAATGCAGTGGTCTTGAGTACTGTTAGAGGTATGAGGGCGGATATTACTTCCCGGTTGCCCACACCGTGGAAGGGTTCTCCTGGAGGTATCTGAAGTGGAACTTGAATTAGAGGTGGTCTTAGAGACCTGAGAGCGTGACCGCAGTACCCAAGGGACAACTGCTTAAGGCCAGTCACACGTGACCCTTCTGTAAGTGATTTTTGTGTTAGCTCCGTACTTGTTGAGACCTTACCGCCGGAGACGGATATGTATGGGATAGGGAGAGGTGTGCATTTTCAGGGTCGACCTTTTCTAACCCCACCCCTCCTTGTGGGAAGGCAGCATAACTGTCATGCTGGTCGTCTAAAGGAAACACCCTACTGCTGTCACACCTCTGTACAGTCAACTTCCCCTTCAGACATTGGATTTGTTGCTTTTAGTCTTACCGTACTTCAACCGACCTATCTGGCATAGTAGGATATTGAGGAACGATTGTTCCAGCCAGTATAGCTCAATTGGTTCATCACGACAGGCGAACCCGACCGCCACGTCAAGGTAGCAGTAACGGTCGGGATATGGTGCGGAATCGATCACAATCGCGTAGGTTTATTCACTCTGTCTTCTCTTTTAAACCATGAAATTAAAATAGATTCATATCCTTTCTACGAACTAATTCTTCCTTTATGTGTTACCACTATTAAATTGACTACTATGAATTCGGTGTTCATCTTGCTGTGCTAATGAGTTGTGGCAACTTGGACCGATGCATATATGTGCCTGGGCCTATGTCATAGCTGACTGATTGACTGTCTAGATAAGAAACTTTTTTTGGTTGTGTTTTAATTATGTAGGTGCTAGTGCTGAAGAACGCCCAACAAAACTCGCTATTGGAGTTTCTGGAGGTTTTGACTTTCCCCAAGATATGTATACAGTCACTGAACATTGGTCTCTAGTACGTCTTCCGCAAGGTGATTCATTTGATATCCCGAATCCAGAACCCGGACAAGGACAATCTGATATATCTCATTTAGAGATTTTGGAACTTCCTAAACACATAGCTATTTCAATCGCATTAATTCAACGTGCTGAGTCAGTATTACTGGCAGAAGAACGAGCTAATTCACTTAAAGCTTGGGAAGATGATAATATTTGTTTTATTTCGTCGTATGCAATGAATTTAGCACAAATAAATAATTCTGTTCGGATTCCCCCGTCGTAGGTCAACATTACTCATTCTACTAGTTTTTTTTTTTTAAATGAACAAATCGTCTTGTATCACTTTTACATCAACTTGAATTACTAGTTATACTCTCATATGCTTTTACTGCGTCCAGTATATTTATGGAACACTATCATCCTATACCCTTCATATGTTAACCGGATACATGGTAGTATACCTAAATTACTGTATATGACTTACTATTCTCTTTCCAAGAGATTTCTCTATATGGTATTTTGTGAACTGTCTTATGAGATGCCTGTTAAGTTTATTTCTTAAGATTTTGCTAAATACACCTCAGTAAAGGAACTGTACTACTTCCAGTCAAGTCATTTATAAACCTTGAATTTTCGCTACACATGTTGTTATAACAGAACAATTAAAACTGGTCATATTCGTTGACGCTCAGCCAAATTCATTCTCCAGTGATGCCACATGTGTCGGGATTTGGGAGGGGTTATTCTGTATGACTGAAGACTTTCATTCAACTAAGAAAACAATTGGATAAAATAACTGACCTGTGAAACTGAAAACCTAACATAAAAATACATTCGGTTAAATTACCAGAATGCATGTTAAATCTTATTGACTTGTCCAGATACCAACTGAATACAAAATGGATCTCACGAGCTGAATCACATAAATTACTGTATGACGTGTTTCTGAGTTGAATAAAAGATGAAAAATTGTCATTTATCAAATACCATCATAAAATTGTACGTTTTATTTTATTTCTCATCGATATTTGTATAGCAACTTACTTGGATTAATTTGTAAATAATTTTTTAGTGGATGGAAATGTGCCAAATGTGATTTGAGAGATAATCTGTGGATGAATCTTACTGACGGAACCATACTTTGTGGTCGAAAATTTTGGGATGGGTCTGGAGGAAATAATCACGCTTTGGAACATTATGAAAAGACCAAGTATCCACTAGCTGTCAAACTTGGAACTATTACTCCCAAGGTACTATAATAACTTTTAAATGCATCTCAGCATATGTCACACATTTGGATGATGTGAATCTTTAATAACAGTAGTTTTATGTAGTCCCTTAATCCATTAAGTACAGTATTTAAACATACCCTGAAGTTTCATATCAACAGACCTATAAAGGGTTTTATTTATGTCATTCTTTTGTTATTTATGCTCGAGTAACACATCTAAATGTTTTATTCATAAACCCCACTTGTTGATCAACAATATCAAAGCGTTCAGTTTTTATCGTCATATCAACTCTTTAACTGCTTAGTGGTTAACACGGAAATATAGGATGCATATTTTTTCATTAATAAATCTTCGTTTCAATATTTCTGTATCTCTTGCGGTCTGTTCTATTTCTGGTGTCATCAGTTGGTCTATTGGCTCAACAAGACGAAATAGTGCGCAATGGTGTAGGACTTTTATCCGTTAGATCGATGAGCACTAACCAGCGAAATTTGATTTCTGTTCTTTCTTCGTATCAATCAATTGATCATAATCCATTGACTAGATAGTGATCGCAATATCCCAAAAAATATTGTAATTGTCTTACGGTTGGAAAATAAATTTTCCAAATATTTTTGTCTTTGCATGATTTCTTGTCTATATTTTATGTGCAAACAGACCTCTAAAGCAATCTGTATTGGTATACATAAAGGATATCACAAAATCATTTGGTCGTTGTTGGAATCGTCATGACAAAACATTATTACATAGCTAGCGCCAGACTTTACCGAAAATACAACACATTGTCTTTTATTGTTTGTAACTGGAAAAAAATACACGTTGTGAAGTGGTTACGGACTGTTGTTTGCTTTCTAACGTAAATAGTCATATAATCATTCGTTTCATGATTGAGGTATGCTACACATATTTCTCCCACAATTCTTACTTTTCAAAGGGTGGAGAAGTATTTTCTTATCCTGAAGATTCAATGGTAACCGACCCGAAATTAGCAGAACATCTTGCCCACTTCGGTATTGACGTAATGCTTATGCAAAAAACCGATAAAACGATGGCCGAGTTAGAAGTGGATGCAAATGAAAGACTTGGAGAATGGTTAACATTGCAGGAATCCAACCATACACTTGAAGCACGTTATGGTCCAGGTATGACTGGACTTAGAAATCTCGGTAATACTTGTTACATGAATGCTGTGTTACAGGTTAGTCAGTAATGCTATGTGTAAAAACTGTAATTTTCCCATAGTTATTCATATGAATTTTCAATACAACTCAATAACTAGGTTCAGGTTTATTTTATTGGTGAGACAATGATTCTACCCAGTTGTTTCAATTAAAGTAGGTGGATCGAAGTTGGAATTTACGAATCACTGAATAAAAGTCGCGTTTCTCAATCATTACGCCAGTATTCAATAATAATATCAAAGTGCTTGTCAAACAAATGCTCACTGATTTTGCATTTTAGTTGTTCATTAAAGAGATTTTTTATGCCATTATTGTATATCTAGTTGTGTTTGACATTTGAGACGGTAACTACAGATAGGTTTTTACTTTAATATCAGTTGTTGCACAAGTAGAGACAGTGTTCCTAAATAAATCTCAGTGGTTTGATTAGTCCCAAGTAATTGATGTCATTGATGATTTTCATTTCATTTACGTCGTCATAATCAGATACTTTTTGTAACAACATATCACCTACGTGTACTAATTCATTTGATCTTTTATCTCGACATTTAGGTTTGTCTGTCCATCTGATACTTGTAGAACACCAAACAAATGATGGTCCCCTTCGTATTACTCGTCATTACCCCAGTATAATATAAAATAATCAATCGCACTATTGATACTATCATATGATTCTGAACACCGATTATATTTAGTTCTTTTTGTTTGATATTTCATCTGTTGGGTAGTCAATCTGAAATTCCGAACAAAGTATATAGATTTGTAATTATTTCGTCATCTTTCAAAAAGACATATTTGGACAGTGGGACCCTAAGTTTATTGATCTTATCATTTGTCACTTGTCAGTAATTGTTCTATTGACTGATCATTGGTTAGTTACCACTATAAAACTGATGTACTACCCAACAGGGTTTTCTTCAATTTCTGTGAATTTTGATGTGGTGTTTCTATCATGGGACTTTTCCAAATGTTCTTTTTCAATGTATTCGGTGCACCTGATAGCCTTTAGACTTAGTGATTATGTAATTGTATCATTCACTCTATTTTGAGGCTTAGCTTAGTGGTTTATATTGTTTCCTGATAATTCATTAAGTATTCCTATTCAGTTTGATGAAATTAGCAAACTTTATAATATTCAATACTGACCTATATAAACCACCAGTAATTACTAGCCAGTTTGAAGTGATTCAAATTTTATACATTAGTTCTACTTGTTTGACATTGAGTTACTCATTATTAAACTTAACTTTACTCAACACAAAAGATTTAAATTGTCTCAGTCACTTCTGTTGTAACTAGCTTCACCGAAATGTTTATCATCTTTATATCAAATTAGGAATATTTTTCTTCTAAAACTCATAAAATGAAGGGCGAGGGAGAGAAGCAGGGCCTGATCGATCAATCCTTGATATTTTTAAGAATAGTGACCCAGTTTTAGCATTCAGATTATCTGTGATCTTGGCTAGAATTAGTGAACTAAACTTAATCCATCGACTGGACATGATCACTGATTGTCCCGGTCTGTAAAAAGGGACAAAATTCCTTCCGTGGTAATCACAAAGGAATCAGTTCAATTAACATTGTGTCTAAAATATTAGCCTTAATAATACATCGGCATCTAACTAGGGCTCGTAAAGAGCAAACCCGAGAAAACCTGGCTGGTTTCAAACCTGGACGTAGATATACAGACTAAATATACACCACTCGGAAGATTTCGGAACATATACATACTTTTCGACGTTCGGAAATAATTGTATTTCCTGACCTTAAGGCGGTGTTTGACTCTTGATCGTGAGGTTCCATGGCTGTGTCTGTTATTAAAAGGCGTCCCAAGAAAGCACAGTGTCTCTACTCGAACACTGCTGATCGAGTCGGTTCTTATGGCGAACTGTTGTTAGAACTGATTAATTCAAGTGATGTTCATCAGGGTTTTCCGCTTTCCCCATCCTTACATATCTTGTCATGGACATGCTTTTAGATAACAACTTCATCGTTTGCCTTTTCAGAGGTTGACCTTCTACCTGGAGATCCTTTTGTTAACATAGAATTATTTATTTATTTGAACACATAAATATTGGTACAACAGGGCACCAATTACATATGCGCCACACAAAATTTTATTTGTCAGTAGGCTGTGATACTGTTCGGGTGCCCAGACCGAAGCAGGTGGTTTTCTTAGGGGACCACACCCCAAGCCTTCGACCTGAAGATCTGATCCAGAAGGCAGTGAAACATCGTAAGGAGATTCAGGCCCATGGTAGCCCGTGACCAACGATCGGTTCATACACCATTTGTTCCTTCAGGATACTGGAGCCCATGTGCACCATTGGTTTGGGAACCGGTTAAAGCGCCGGACATTCGTTTTTCGTCCCCCAAATGCCCTGATACGGCCGAGAGTGGGGAGAGTCCGCTCTCCCTCTCGAAATGCTCTCACATGGCCACGCGTACATAGCCCCTGCCAGGGAAGTCCTACTCACTGCCTTCAGGTGGCGGGGGTGTTGTTTACGAAAATGAGAGGACGAAAAACGAATGTCCGGCGCTTTAACCGGATCCCAAACCAATGGTGCACATGGGCTCCAGTATCCTGAAGGAACAAATGGTGTATGAACCGATCGTTGGTCACGGGCTACCATGGGCCTGAATCTCCTTACGATGTTTCACTGCCTTGTGGATCAGACGTTCAGGTCAAAGGCTCGTGGTGTGACCCCCTAAGAAAACCACCTGCTTCGGTTTGGGCACCCGAGCAGTATCACAGCCCTCACACAAATCATTTGAGATTCGTGTGGCGCATATGTATTTGGTGCCTCCTTGTACCAATACCTATGTGTTAAAATAAATAAATAAATAACCTCCGCCACGAGAAGGCAGTGAGTAGGACTTCTGTGGCAGAGGCTATAAACGCGTGGCCGTGTGAGAGCATTTCGTGAGGGAGGGTGGGCCCACTCCACTCTCCGCCATACCAGAGCATTTGGGGGTAACATAGAATACACGAATGATATAATTCTGTTTGGAGAAAACTGAAAAAAACTAGTCCTCTGACCACCTTAAGCAACAATGCAAAGATGTTCGGGATGAGATTTTCTCCTTCCAAATATTGCTTCAGAATCGGCTTTTGTCGGTGCATGAACAAATCTGGGTTAGGAGTAAGGCACTAGACAAGGATGAGAAACAAGTTTGTAAGTTACTAAATATTTACCAACTAAAGTGGTTGGGACATGTGTTATACACGTCCAACCACCGCCGACCTCAACGACTATGTTCTCTGGTGCTGAAAAATAACACGGTGACGGACAAACCTAGACATCCTATCAGTCCATGAAGTCATTGACAATAGGTGTAGACTACCTGGTTGGGGTCCACATGATTGGCATAATCAATGGTTAGAAACTTTACATGACATTGCTTGAAATTGTTTGCGATGTTGCAGGTGCATCTATTCTCTGTCTTTCTCCAAATTTTGAGTTCCTAACTTCCTCACAATGTTTTGGTTCTTATTTCCTCAATTTATATTTTCTTCTCGCATCGTATTTTCGATGCCTAATGTTTTCTATTACCATTAATGCTGTTACTATCTCCACTATTCTGAGGCTCGATCGGACAGTTTTATCTCTGTGCTAATGGTGTGTGGGAACTTGACCTGGCGTACATACCTACGAGATTCTACTGTGCTACTGACCGACTGAAATCGATAAAGTCAAAATTTGCTGATTACAGTTTGCATGTGGGAAAGAGGAAAAGAGTGAAGTAGTTCTTGGGTTTATATAACATGCTTAGTATGGTGATTGCTTCGTGTTATATTCTTTTTGATTAAGTACTTGTATTAGTCGTTACTGTCCCATATATTGGCTATTTTCTCCATTTGGGCTTAACATCAGGTTCTGTTTTCAATTTCACAATTTCGTTCATATTATGCCTATCGATTGCCAGTTTGGTGTGAGGAAGCATTGGATCAATTCACTTCTGAAGATCATCCACTTCTACCAGTAGATCATATTGGTCTACAATTTTCGAAATTAGGACATGGTCTTTGTTCAGGTGTTCATTCATGGCTAGCTCCAAATAATCTTAGTCATACTGCTACAGGTGGCCCTGTACCTATTCTCCCGGGTGAGTTTGGTCAGTCTATAATTATGATTACTGTCATGTTTAACAGTCTTTTCTGGTATGTTAATGAAATACGTATTATACTTTACCCCCAAATGTTCTTGCACGTTCAAGGATAGGAAGAGTGCTCTCCCTCTCGAAATGCTCTTGTATGGCTACACACAAATAGGCACAACCGTCTTCTCATAGCGGTGTTTTTTTATGAAATCGAGAGAACCAAAAGCGAATGTCCGGTGCTTAAACCGGGTTGATGGGTACAGAAGATCCACCTAAAGGATCCGGAAACCTTTGATTCCGAAACGACGGTGCACATGGACTCCAGAATCCTGAGGGAAAAATTGTGTCTGAACCTATCCCTGGTCACCGGCTACCATAGGACTGCATCTCCTAACTTTTCTCCACTACCTTGTTTTTATTTATTTGAACACATAAATATTGGTACAACAGGGCACCAAACTTACAGGTCAAAATCCGGTTGTGGCCCTCTAAAATACCACCTGCTTCGGTTTGGACACCCAGACACTCGCTCTGCCATCGCATAGTACACCGCCTTAATCAGATATGTGCACTCTATTTCTTTCAATGATTCTGTTTCATTACCACTTTGAAAACGTCTGATAAAGAAATATTTATTTTTTATGGTATTTATTTTACATTGGTTGTTTAATACATTGTGATGAATTATCATCGAATCTGTTGTGATCTTCAGTGAAATTTGGTATTAATTATTTGTTATCTGATAAGTAAGTCAGTCATTATATTATGATATCATGTTATACGCAATCTGTTCATTGATAACATAAACCGATAGCATATAAGGTTTGTCTTACAACATTTAAGATACAGCAACTCTGCTTTGTTCTTTCTCCGTTTCTATTGTTTAAAACGTTTCTAGAAGTCCTCAAATGTCAAGCTCTTCAGATGTTTTTCCCGCTCCACGTTATACTAGCATCAAATCACAGATGTTCTATGTTTCTCTCCATACTATCAAGTGTCGTTCTAGACTTGCACCATGTACATAGTCTCCATAAGCATAAGTGAAACACTTGCTTGGATTAAAAAAAGTTGCTTAATTCATTGTACCATCACCAGTGATTATCGATACTTCGAAAATTTTCTTAACGGTTTACCTAAGTTTCATTTCGTGCACTGATAGTCAAACATTGTTATTGACTCACCAGGTAAAGGCTCGTGTATTTGGCTTCGAGCCCCACTGTTAAGTGTTAGAGGTAGTAATGCTATCTGACTGTCCTAATTGAAGTAGGTGAAGCTGGGTTTGAACCTGTTGCTTAGTAGCTACAAGTCGGAGGTCTTTGGTACTGAACTACCGATCCACACGTATATTAATTGAATGTTGTCATTTATATTTAGTCGGTTAATTGTTAATACCAGCTTATAAAGTTTATTCGGTTGAAATCGAGAGTCGATTGCTTAAATAGATTATACGTCTAATCACTCCATCTATTACAGCAATTTCAGTAGTCATTAGTTGTTATTCCTCTTATTCATTTCTTGGGAGGTAATAGACTTTCGGCTTATGATAATTTTCATTTAACCAGTTATTTTTATATATTGAAAATGAAACATGCACAGGTATACGTCCAATTTTGTTTCGTCGATTAATGGGCGCGCATAATTCCACATTTGCCACAAGACAGCAACAAGATGCTTGCGAATTTTTAATCTATCTATTAGATTTATTAGAACAAAAAGCAAATAGACAAGAACACGGAAAAGTACATCCAAGTAATGTGATGCGTTTTGGTGTGGAAGAACGCCTTCAATGTGGTTTGACAAATAAGGTAAGTTAATGGTTGCTCCATCTATATATGCGTTTGTCTTGCTCATGACAGACTTATCAAATAGTGGCTCAGTATTGAAGGTATTTAACATCCAGACCACAAAGTTACATGTCTAAACGTTCTTCAACCTATTTTGTTTTGAGCGATCGGGTAGCATCGGTAACCTTTATACTTGGGGGTTTAAGGACAAGTTAACAAATGTATACCTGGTTACTGAGTTATTTGTCCTACATTGGACAATATGAAACTACCTGAAGTTATAATCTTCATTTATCAGAATTTGTTCTAGTCCGATGAACTGTTTATTACCAGTGGTGCACTGTTTATCTCATTTTGCAGAAATCGTTTCCACACATCCGCACTAATTTGCTTGTCAAAAAAGAATTGTATTTAATAACTTCACTTAATAACTGTTAGTCAATTGGCCATTGCTTTGAACTTACTCAATGTAATTGTCATAGACACGAAACAGTCTATTTTTCGTCGTTTCACAATGTCGAATTACATGGCGAAAAATTGGTCACAGTAGCCCGAATGCAGCCATTCTCTATCTTTCCTATTTACTGTGAGCTCAATACCATTTTTCCTAACTTAATAAACTGTAATCGGATTTGTTCTTTTCGAAGTGCATATCTCATGTGAGACAAGTTAGACCGCCAGTTCTTACATTGATAATAACCGACTCTTTCCAATTATTTTGGGAAAGATTAAAGTTCAATTCTTTTTGAGGGAACATTATTAACTAACAATGTTCTTGGTACAGAATTTATATTACTTGTTTTTTTTAATGTTTCATATCTACTATAATGTAAAAGTGTATAGGCCAATAACATATTTCAACAAGACTATTTACTGAACTTCATATTAAGTCATAAGGTCATGTTATTATTGAATCAATTAGACTAGTGGCCAGCCACTGTAGCCTAATCAAAAATACTTGCTCAGCGCTGTGTGATATATTATACAAAGTATAATAAACTATACTCTTTGCATAAATGAACTCTGTGATTCTGTTTTAATTGCCACCTTTCTCACTCCCTCACAATACCACACAATTCACAACAACAGGTCTCGTATAAAACTGATCATGAATGGATTCTTTCAGTTCCAGTTCCAATGGAAGCGGTAACAAATCAAAAAGCATTAGACAATTATGAAAAACGACGTGTTGACGCTGAATTAAATGGTATACATTTATCACCTGAAGAGGTTGTACGACCAATTATTCCTATGGAAGTAAGCAATAAAACGTATAAATAGTATAATTGATATTTATTCACTTGTAGTTATTAATTTATGTGTATTTTCCTAACTATAATTCTACCACACTTATTATTTGCATAATAGCTTATGTTTTCCTGAATTGTACGGAATAATAGTAATCAGTCAATGAATGTAAACAAGGTGATTGTAAGTGCTGTTAGAGGTATGAGTGGTTGTCGATTTCTGGTTTTCCACACTAAAATGATATGTCTTCCTAAGGTAAAGAAAACTCGTTTAGTAGCGGTCTTGATCATTGAATAACCTGACTACAGGACTCAAAGGACACTTACTTGAACCGATCATTTTGTCGGTAGTTTCTGACAAGTTATCTCCACACGTTTAAGACCCCTATCTCTGATAACGAAAGTACGTTAATCGAATTTCTCTAGTCCTCCCCTTTCGTAGTGAGAAAGAGGCATGCCTGCAAATATCGTCTGAAAGGAAGCACCATCCTGCCATCACACTACTACGGTCAGCTGTACAATTTGTCCATCAAATCTTAAGTTTGTTACTTTTAACTTCTCTACTTTCCAACCAACCTATACGGTGTGGTATAATCCATAGGGATGAATACTCGAACCAGTATATGTAGGCCTGACCTCTACGTCAAGTTAATATCTACATTCGGGAATTATTGAATAAGATCCCAAGTAATTTGTAACTACACAACCAGTCAATTCGCAGCAATTAATGTGAATTATAATCTATGAATGATGTTGGAAATTCACGTCTATAACGAATTTAATTTTGTTTTAAAAGTAACAATTCGTTAGTCAAACAAATCATTCGAGATATTACATAATTGTTAAATCACTTCTGTTTACAACCTCTATTACCAACTAATGTTTCCATTGCTTTCCAGTTCTAGCCAACATGGTTATTATTTCTCATATAATTTTGATCAACTACCACTCTATACCATACCCAAGCTTTAATTAAGGTATATTTTAGCGTACACCTGCTCAAATCAAATTATTATATCTCAAAGTACAGGCAATCAGTGATGCGTGTATGGTTGAATAATTAAGTAATCAATAGTTAAGACATGCGTAACACATGTTCACCGATTATCTCGATATTGAATGATGATTGGTGTTAAAGTGATCTAGTAGCAAATACATTATTTTACTTCATGAGGATGTCCAGACTACGTTATCAGGACTCAGTGGATAATCATGTTCATTAATAATTCTCTTGTCGATCAATAAAAAAGGTGTTAGTAACAATTGGTGAGTGAAATAACGTCTCCTTACCATTATTATCATTATTTTCATTAATAATATTCTTAGGCTTGTCTGTTGGCTTGGGCTGAAACAGAACGAATTAATGATTTTAAAACACCAGCAAGTCAACCTCCAGGTGCCAAAACATTCGCTTTACGTTCTAATCGTTTAACGAATTTTCCAAACTATTTATGTATACAAGTTGGACGATTTACTGTTGGTGCAGATTGGCTTCCGAAAAAATTGGATGTAGACATTGAATTGAAATCATCTGTTGGAAATCATGGTAATACAGAATGGTTTATTGATTTGAATAGTTTACGTGCACCGAATGGTAGTAGACCATTGCCTGGTGAACAATTAATGCCAACTGGGGATGAAATCAAATGTAAGTTTAACGCGTGGATTATATGTTTCAATAAATTAAACCTGTACATTTCCAGTTGGTTTCGGATTTGACTCTTCAACTCTATCTAACTCGATAGTTTAAATAATCAGTTACTTGTGTTTATCTTCATTTGTTTATTTTATCTGCACCTGCTATGTTTGAAGAGATTACGATATCACCTAAACCTGCAAGGCTGGACGAGGTCAGCAACAAAATAACAGGACAAGCTAAACTATTGCAATGCACCCCAGTCCTGCTAACCTGAGGAAAAAAACCACATTCAACCGAGGGAAATGTATATTACAGAAGCACGAACAAATAAGCACAAAACTCAAGCGTATATAAACAGTATCCTTGTGAAACGTCACAGAATAGCGTGTTAAAAGAAGAAAAAGAACCAATGACATTTTAGGTCCTTTCAGGTGGGGAATACAAACTAAAGGTCGAAGCTGGAGCTTTTGGTGCGAAAATGGGAAATTCAAACTTCAAAAATAAAACTACAGAAATGAGTTACCAACTGATTTCTGTGTATCTAGCATTCCCAACAATACCTTGATTATATTTCATCAATTTTTATTATCCTCTTAAAATATATTAGATAATTATGTTTAATAATATTACTTCGGTAATTTTACCTTTGCTAAGCTAAATATTTATGCGTGTACATTATACTGCTTATACTTCTAAAGTATGATAATGAGATCGGTGATATAAATTTTTCATTATGTTAGTAGGATATTATCGGTTTTTGTGAGTAGTTTAACTTAAAAATATGTGAACGTATTTCCCATGATATCTGAGAAATTTTCTTTAGAATATTTATCAAAGGTCACTCTCTAACAGAAAGACGCGTACAAGTTAATAGTCTCATTCATTAACCTCTTAGTTTTCTCACTTTTTCAATCTTAGATGGCCAGAAGGATAAACTTCTCGAGAAACAGAACACCAGGATTTTATTATTGTTTAAGGTATGTGTGTACGTGTGTCTGGTTGATACTTCTCAGTTACAATAGCATCATAAAAAGAAATCCCTCTTTGAAGGACTTGAGGAAGAAGAGGGATGAGTATCGAAGGCTTAGTCAACATTGTAATATAACTTCAGGGGTCAAGAAGAGAAGTTGATTCGGAGATGCCACATCGATTTCGTTCTTTTTTAAAGTATTTTAGCTCCATCGACTTTTTAAACTCTAACATCTGGTATCCGTGGATCGAACAATAATTCATGTTAGTTTACTTATTCGATCTTATCTTCTTTTCGGTTTCGAAAAGTCAGCATCGCCAGAGATGTTGGTTATCCTTCAAAATTTTCGCTAACGCCACGTCCAAGTACAACTGATTGTACAGCATTTCACTAGGATTTAAAATTTTCCGTTTTTATATCTATTCATCATCTAACCAACCTTTCTGGAACGATAGAAGGTCAATGAGTAAGTTATGTTGTCAATACACACATTAATTGTATTATTACCTCAAAGAAATTCTTCCTTGTTCTTTCCAAATATTATCATATAGCTGAACAAATGAAAACTGATGAAGATGATGATGTACAACCGGATGTAACAATTATAAATGATCTGTTAGTTATGGGTTTCACTTTGGAAGCAGCACAGAAAGCTTGTAAATTTACACAAAATTCTAGTGTAGAAAATGCTACCAATTGGTTAATGGAACATTTAGACGATCCAGATTTAAACGATCCGTTGTCAACGCCCAGTGGTTATCAGCAACAAAATAAACAGAAACAACCAGTAGTTGGGTCCGTCAATTGTACAAATATTGACGAAAACGCAGTTGACATGATGTTGGCAATGGGATTCAGTAGGCAACAGGTTGGTCAAAGTATATTCCTAATTTGATAAAATAACGAGTTAATAATCAATAGTGTTAGGAAGAATATTCAGTTAATCACTCAATCATTTTATTGTCATCTGAAAACTTGAACTGGTGTTTAATGTTTTTAGTAGTAGTATGAAGCTTCAATGTACCGTCCTTCTGGTTAACTGTTTGCTGAAGTATTCAATTCTACCTGTTGTGCTGATGATGTTCTTCAGAAGATCAATGAAAGTTTCACAACCGAACCATCTAACTCTGCGAACAAAACTCTGTCTGAATCAATTATAATCATATACTTGCATCTTACACATGCCTTCAGTCTTTTTATGTTCCCGTGATCAATTTATCCAGGATGAAATATTGTTCAGCATAATATTTAAATTTGTTTCAAGTAGATAAATACCTCTTCTGGACATAAGTTAATATAAGTTGGCAAACCCCAATCACCAATTATTCAGTTCTATAGGATTACAATTTTTTAATAAATATAATTTGATAATTGAAATGAGGTTCTTAAATTAGAAACCAGTATTTTATATACAAATCCATTCATGATTCAATATTATCAGTCTATGGACACTGGACAGTTCTTAACTCTTTAGTTGTTTAACTCTTTCGAATTCACTAACAGTATATGAAATCTTACCGGCTTTTAGAAATTGAATACATTAAGTAGTCCAGTCCACACTTTTGATGAAACAGGTTGTTAATCAATGTACGCTTATATGTTTCTTATCAAAATAGTATTCAACTTTAAAATGTGTTGTGCTAAACAGATGTTCTGGTACGGCTGAGAGTAGGGAGAGTCTGCTCTCCCTCTCGAAATGCTCTTGTATGGCTACACACAAATAGGCACAACCGTCTTCTCATAGCGGTGTTTTTTTATGAAATCGAGAGAACCAAAAGCGAATGTCCGGTGCTTAAACCGGGTTGATGGGTACAGAAGATCCACCTAAAGGATCCGGAAACCTTTGATTCCGAAACGACGGTGCACATGGACTCCAGAATCCTGAGGGAAAAATTGTGTCTGAACCTATCCCTGGTCACCGGCTACCATAGGACTGCATCTCCTAACTTTTCTCCACTACCTTGTGGGTTAAACTTACAGGTCAAAAGCTCGGATTATGGCCCTCTAAAATACCACCTACTTCGGTTTGGACACCCGGACAATATCTCATTCCTTACACAAATTGAAACATATGTGAGGTGCATATATATTTTGTGCCTCCTTGTACTAATATTTATGTGTTTAAATAAATAAAAAATGTTTCTTTTCTGTTTTTGTTTTGTTGAACACACTGTCAGTTTTTACTTTTCTCAAACATTGTCTATACACGTAAATATCACATGAGCATGAGTATTATAAAACACATGATATGTTTTTGTCCTTTTTTCTTTTAAAATTATCTATCGACGTAAATATTGATAAAATAGCGAAATTGTGAATACTTCATCCAATAATCCACTGGTATGAATTAATCATTCTTCAGACTAACAAAATATAAACCACACACTCTTGATGGTAATTAGTGAGTGAACTAAAAATAATAAAATGATATTAACTAATCAGAAATTTGATTGAGTACTGTAGTAATAGTTTAGAATGTAACGGATAATAAGCAGTTGACTATACTTCGACACAATTTATTTAGTGGAAAAACATGTTGACTGTAACAAATTTTGATTTCCAATTTGTAAGACAACACCAAGAGAAAGTAACATAAGCTGATTGCTTATTTATTGTCTTACAATATCAGGTCAACCAAAACCGCCAATATAAGACGCGGCTTCGACCAAGTTACTTTAACATATTAACGTAAAAAAAAGAATGATGAAAGGAATGACACAAGTAATCGATATGTTGTAGTAGCAATAATAATGAGAAAAACTAAACACACTGAGAATATGGTTTAAAAAGATGAAATGAAAAGATCTGTATGAAGGAATATTGAAATACATGATGTAGACAAAGACAAACAGTGAATGCACCTCTTCATTATTATGATCTATTCTGAGTCATGTTATTCGACATCTACAATCAATGATTGTCTTTATCAAACCGACGTCAATAAGTCTTACTATATCAACAGGCCTCAGATCACTAGTTAATGAGTTCATAAGCAACTATCAATAACTGAAATATTGTATTATTATTATTATTATTATTATTATTATTATTATTATTATTATTATTGAACACATAAATATTGGTACAAGAGAGCGCCAAATACATATGCGCCACACAAATCTCATTTAATTTTTGTGTGGGCTGTGATACTGCTTGGGTACCCAAACTGAAGCAGGTAGTTTTCGTAGGGGGTCACACCCGGAGCCTTTGACCTAAAGGTCTAACCCACAAGGCAGTGGAGCATCGTAAGGAGATGCAGTTCCATGGTAGTCGGTGACCAACGATTGGTTCATACGCCATTTGTTCCTTCAGGATACTGGAGCCCATGTGCACCATTGGTTTGGGATCCAGTTAAAGCGCCGGACATTCGCTTTTCGTCCTCTCATTTTCGTAAACAACACCCCCGCCACCTGAAGGCAGTGAGTAGGACTTTTGTGGCAGATGCTTTATACGCGTGGCCGTGTGAAAGCATTTCGAGAGGGAGGGTGGGCCCACTCCACTCTCGGCCATACCAGGGCATGTGTAATCCACAAATATTTATTGTAGTTGTAGATTACTTTCACCCTCGCAACAAGAATGGAATTTAGAGAATATATATATATATATATATACGCATATCTTTTGATGTTTATCGACCCTTTAAAATTGTTCCATCGATCATAATATAAATCAATAATAAGTATTAAAAAAATCTTGATTCTAAACTAATTAATAAGCGAATAGTGAAATCAGCTGATTGTAAGTATATTGAACTGCAACAGAATAAACAATTTTTTTTCGTAATCAATTGAACATACACACAGTTTTTGTACTAATTAGTTAACTTGAAGTATTGACAAAAATATTGACCAGTGGATTTCTTTTGTTGACCAAGAAATCGGTTTATTATCTAAGCAACAAACATATATGTATGAATGAATGTGATTTGGTTTAGCCCACCCAGTTAGCACTCCTTTATTTTTAGTCTTCTTATTCAGAAGAGTAGCCTATTAGGAATTCGCATACATAATATTTGTGTGTGTCATTCTTCAACACGGCACATCATAACATTTGTCTGCAGATTAGATAGATGCTTTTGGTTTTAATGTTTTCTCTGAGCTAAATTGTTAAATGTTTCAGTGTCGTAAGGGATGATAGACACATTTGTTATCGCCTAGTTCATGTAGAAGGGTGTTCTTCAGTTAGTCAGTCATAAAGTAGAACCTGACACGTATGTACTCTAGGTCAAGGAAAACAACAGAATTAATGTATATAATGACTTGGTAACATTGGCCAATCTAGTTGCACTATAATAATTGGAAGTGAATGATAAATATGCTTCGATCGTTTAATGCGCATCTGATCTAGAATCTTTGGTGAATCGAATCGCCTATCGAGTGATTTAAGCTTATATGCAGCGTAGTATATTAGTACTGTAGAAATTGCAGATGCATTTTGTTGATAAAGTACCAACTAACATTCAAATCATAATGATCTTTTTTTTACACCGATGTTTCAGAGTGTAGTACCGACTACTTAAGGAAACTAGAGCTTATGAATTATGTACATATTTGACTTGTACACATCATATTTCTTATATATTTGTTAGATTCTTTGATTAAAATCTTTCCTCTCAATCTTTTTTTATTACAGTCAATCGTCGCATTACAACATAAAAATGGTAATTTGGAACAAGCTGCTGATTGGGCATTGAGTAATCCAGATGAATTAGAAACTTTATTACTTCAATCTGAAATAGATATGACTAATAAATCTTCCACTGATGCTGGGAATAATTCAAATCAGACATCTTCATCAGGTCCGCCGTTATCAGATGGTAGTTCAAAGTATGAATTATTCGCGTTTATTAGTCACATGGGAAAATCGACCAATGTAAGAAAATTAATTACGTTCAAATGTGTATACTTACAAAATGATGTTTCGTTTGTTTAAAATCTCTTAGTTTGTGTTTGATTTTTCTCAAACTTGTATCATAGTAAGTTGTGTGTTAACCTTTATAGTTAGTAGTCCACATGACTCAACGTATTTATAAACTAAAAAGTTCCTCTTGTAGTCACTAACTAATCCTGTAGCTATATTGTTTTCATCGCTTCTCAAAATGGCATCACAGATCCCTCAGTAGTGGCATCTTAAACTGTGAAGTTAGTTGACGTAGGTTTAAATTCCACGGTGTGTATTCAGGACGTAGCCCTGGGTTCACGATTCCCTGCAGACTACCTTTTCTTAAAAAAAAAAGCGGGGATTAGAATTTTGTTGATGAGCTAGTGAATCTTCATCGATTGAGATGTTCAGGTCATATATTACATATATTCAAACCCTGCTTACCTCAGCGGAGGTCATTTTTTCTTGGTAAACGAGTAGGGGAAGCCAAATGTAAACATGGCATCAGTTCATAAAGCGATTGCGTGTTTTATTGAGACATGTTGTTAGTTGCAATTTACCAGGTAGATGTCTTTGTAATTATCACTGTCAGTTGCCGGAAACGAGTGAAATGGTTCAGAATTGGTTGCATTAGGTTAGATTTATTCCCTCTTTATCTCCCAGTAACTCGTGACTTTGAAAATTAATTTATACCAATTTATTCCTGAAATCATATTATCGATGCTTAATATCCACTAAATAGTGTCATGTATGTCTACTGTGAGATTTATCTTGTTGTACTAAAGCTATGTAACTACTGGCACCGATACATATTTGTAACAGATTCTACTTTGCTTATAACTAACTGGCTAATTTCGCTTCAAACCAACGGTTACTGTCCACATTTATTTGTATGGATTAGTAAAGTAAAGAGACTTCTCATGGACACAATAAGTTTTCTCTTTTTTATTCAATGTATGCAGAGACTGTTTATTCAAATACTTGTTGAAAATGAATAATTCATTCGACGAGTATTATATATATATATATATATATATATATATATATATATATATATATAATATTGTTGACTTTAACTAACAAATTTTTATTTAGTCTGTTTTTATTATGAGACATTCAAATTTATACATATAACATACACATCGTTTTTTGTTTATTTTGTTTTGCACAGGATGGTCATTATGTAGCTCATATTAAACGATCATTTCTAGCTAAATGTATTCCTCACGAACCGCCAGTATATCATGTTGGCTCACCAATTTGTGGCGGTTCCGATCAAGAATGGATTATATTCAATGATGAGAAAGTGGCAAAAAGTGAATGCCCACCACATCGTCATGCTTATTTATATTTCTTTCGAAGATTAGATGCTGCTGATCAATCTGATTAACTTTAATTGTTTATGTGTGTGTGTCCCCGAGTGGTGTAGTGGATGAGGTCATTTAAACAGTTTAGTGTTAAACAATGATAGATTTATTGTTTTATTTTCTGTTTCATTGTCTCCACCTATCTTCCATTCTTATTTTAAACTGCACTCCAGAAATGCATTAAGTTGTACACATTGTTAACTTAGAAAAACTGCTCTTATGTGTATGCGTACATGTAGGAATGACAGATTGCTTTTGTTTCTCTCTTTGTTAGTAAAGTACAATAAACAATCCAAAAGTATAACATATTAGTTTTCTGCATTCCCTAGTTACATTTATTTGTTCATTTATTATTATCTCTCATCTTCTAAATAAGTCTTGAGTTTATGTATCGTTAAAAAAAAATACAAACACTAAGCCAGATACATATTGATATGAATAATAAATATATTTTTAATCAAATTAAACTTGGAAACAAAAAGGAAAGTATATAACATACAGACACGCACACACACATACAAATACAAATACTACCTCTTTTCTGTTTATAAATTCCGTACATGAACGAATAAATTATGTTTTTATTTAATTATTTTAAAAGAGAAAAACAATGAATGAAACAATTTACATCATAGAAAATGTGGTAATCTATCTCTATTTGAAAAATTTTTTTTAAAAAAATGGACTATCCATGTTTTGATCAATTTTGTTGTTTTTTTTTCAATTATATATGACTTACTCGTTGTTAAGGCTCATTGTTAATGACTATAATGTTATATAATTTTGAAAGATATCATAAGTAATAAAAGTAAACGTTTTAAATGTAATACAGTTTTTTTTTGTTTTTAATATTTTGTTTAATGCTTGATTGGTTTGTGTTCATGTATTGTTACTTTGATTACTATTACTATGTGTCTTATGATCATATAGATTGGAATCTTAAAGTAATTAATACAGTTAAAGTATCAGATTACGTTGTTGTGAAATCTTAGTGAAAACACTATATTGATCAGTATAAAGATTAAAACTAATGAAGTTATTCAATAGTTGATTAATCTCTAAGATGTAATCAATGTCATGTTTTTTTTAATCCTATCAACTGAATTGAAATTTGGACACTAATCTGAATGATGTAAATGAATGTATGTACAGAAAAACCGCGCATCGTGATGATTGAGATTCTTCTATAAGATATACTTGAAATCTCGAAGGAATTAATACCATCTGTGAAATTCACTCAATTTAGGATGTGATTATTGGGCTATTCGGGCTGCTAATGTTTTCCTGTACGATTGAGATGATATTTACATTGATTATATATTGAGTCATAGCTTATTTCATGTTTGTCTCGTCATTTTTTTTATTGCTAATCAAACTATTGATTAAGCTTTTGTTTAGACACGAGTTGAATTGACTTTCCAAAACATATATACTTTTGTTATGTCAATTGGTGGTCGGAGGCAATTGACAAGAAACTAAATCGAAATTCCTTACTTATTGGTACTCATCAGTAAGATAATCTTCTCATCTTCAATACATTGTTACTCTCTGGTGGAGTTGTCACTATTTATGAAACTGGTGTTTTCAAGTTTACGTCACCCAATTGTTTTATATTGAATATCATCCATATTAGTTTATGAATAATCTGTAAATCAAGATTGATTTGATTATTTATTCTAAAGATGTAATTTAAGCAGTAACATTTTTAGTTAGACTTTGGAATTTGTTTTACGGTAAGAAATGTATCATCTATAGTCCAGTGTAATAATAATTACGTGCTGGCTGGTAACTAATTTCGAGAGGTTATTGTTGGAGCTCTACTGAGAATCCAGAGATAAGAGTTCATGTTTATTTATCTAAGCTGGTTATCCGCAAATGACATTGGGATATTGTTACTCAATACTTCAAATTAACTAAAGTTATAAATGAAAACTTTTTAATATTGACTCAGGGATTTAAATGTCAAGCACCTGTTGAGAGATTCCTGAACATCCTTGCTTCGATTCCGGATGAGATCTTGTATGCCCGCTGTTTATGAGGAGTTCCATACTAGGATAAAAAGCTGTTGATTGCTTCCTGGCTTTCAGTGGTTTTCTAAATTTATTTATTTATTTATTTTAACACATAAGTATAGGTACAGGGAGGCACCAAAATACATATGCGCCACACAAAGCTCAATTGATTTGTGTGAGGGCTGTGATACTGCTCGGGTGCCCAAACCGAAGCAGGTGGTTTTCTTAGGGGGCCACACCACGAGCCTTTGACCTGAACGTCTGACCCACAAGGCAGTGGAGCATCGTGAGGAGATGCAGTCCCATGGTAGCCGGTGACCAACGATTGGTTCATACGCCATTTGATCCTTTGGGATACTGGAGCCCATGTGCACCATTGATTTGGGATCCGGTTAAAGCGCCGGAAATTCGCTTTTCGTCCTCTCATTTTCGTAAACAACACCCCCGTCACGAGAAGGCATTGAGTAGGACTTCCCTGGCAGGGGCTATATACGCATGGCCATGCGAGAGCATTTCGAGAGGGAGAGCGGACTCTCCCCACTCTCGGCCGTACCAGGGCATTTGGGGGCGGTTTTCTAAAGAAGATTGGTCGCTAATATAAAGAATGATAGTGTGAATTAGTCAGTCATATGCGTTTTTCTCTTAATTCAGTAGCGATAATCACTTCAAATCTTACTGTAATTATAATTATTAAGATTAAATATGCAGTGGTAATTCATGAAATTTAGCAGTTCTTCAAGGTTTTACACTGGTACTAGATAATTTGTTGTTCTAATTTATTTGGCAATCGGAATTGTATTTTGCATCAAGTAGATGAAATGATACGACGTGCTCGTCGTATTTACCTAATTCGACAACTTTTTTAACTAATATATAAGAGCAGAACGAAAAGTGTTTCAACATTTACAAATCACCAAACCTGACGACTCTTTTTGTAGGTATCATAACCAACGTTTGACTTGGTAATTTCAAATACATTGAGCATTGGGTAAATTGTTATAAATAAAAATAATATATTTTTAATATTTCAATGAGTAGAAAAATTAAATTTTCTAACGTTTCGTGACTGAGTGTAAGTCACTTCAGAGAATAAATAACCAAATCAAAGTTAATTCAAGTTTAAATACTACAAAGGAATAGCACGAGGATATTATGTGCGATCAATCAAAATACAGGTCTGAACAAGTCAATGTCATGTCATTTCGGTCAAGGTGATTCGTAAGCGACGTATATGTGGATTTGTGTGTAGGGTCAAGGATGGAAACAATGTGACTTTTGTGGTGAGAAATGATATAGTTTAATTTGTATGTACGATAATAATGTGAAATGTAAATAATATCAGACATGATAGCTTGGATAGATAGTCCAAGTCGGATGTATAGCGAGGCCTTGTTTTCTATTGAGAACAGTTGGATTAAGCACTATGTGGAAAGCTTCAGTTACTCTCCTTTCTTTATAATTGGGAAAACCTTTTTGTTATGTGTTGATATCGATTTGGTGGTTGCTAAAAATGGCGTGAACTGCTGTTGCCGATTTAGTTTGAATTCTATTCAGTTATATGAGATTATTAGGTAGTTTATGTACCCAAGATGTTCTTTGACTCGAGTCAAGGTTTCGCGAGATGACTCTTCAGTATAGATGGCATCACAATCGACACATCCTAATTTGTAGACACAGTTCTGTGTTGACATAAAGGGGGTTTTCCTTTTAAGCGAACTAAATTATTTTGAAGTGTATTCGTTGTTTTGTAGTATACTTTAATCTTGTGTTATTTTAAAATTCTTTGGAGTTCCTTTGTGCTTATTAAACTTGGATTCATTTTGATTTGATTATTTATTCTCTGAAGAAGTGGCTTACACTGAGTCACGAAACGTCAGAAAATTTAATTTTTATACTCATTGGGATATTACAAATGTATTATTTTTATTTACGACTTTTAGTTATAGATAGACAAACCAAGACTATGTATTTAACTGGAAGTCAAATGTTTCTCTTATGGTGCATGAAATGCACAGCATTTTGATGTTTAATTTTCGAAATAGTATCTTATCATTGTCTTACATTGTAAATGACATACGTTTAATACATCATACTTTCACGGAGTATTTTTCTTTCATTTATTATAAACTGTAATTCCAAACATTGCAACTTATCCATTAACTCAAACTGTTTTACAAATCACTGTTGAATGTTAGCAGTTTAGTATGTTTAACTTATTTCATAAAGTTTCCCTTCGATCTACACCCTACATGGATTGAAAAAGTAAAATAATGCTTAGGTATAGTTCATTAGTCAAGTCATTCAATTCGTGAACTGCATTTGTGAATCCTGCTTCACCTAAATGCGTATTTTTATCGCTCTTGATAACTATTTCGAAGAGGAGTACAAAGTTCATACTTATCTTAATTATTCACCATAGATTATCCATATCACTAGTGACAATCTAACAAATTATATATTGGAACAATTTAGTCAGCCTAATACCACTACTTTAACCCACACAAATGAGTTTATCTTCCATATTTTTAATGCATTGATGAATATGCCCACTTACGAGTCTTAGTAATGCTCTGTAGCTTGTTCAATAAGTAGAATGCATACAATATGCCCGTGAGTTGTTGGTTTTTGTGGGAAGTTTGTATAATTTTGGTAGTTATCATCATCGCAATGTGGGTTATCAGTTGGAGAAAATCGATAAATAATTTGCAGTAGTATTAGAAATCCCAATCATGAAACCTATCTGATTTTCATTTACATTTAAAGATGTTATGACGAAGTTGTTCTAACTGAATTACTAACTACCATCTCAACATAGTGCACGTGACGTCAAGTTATTCTGACTAATGGCCATATAGGTATTTGATTGATACAGTTCTATCAACACTAAGAAAGTAAACAAATATAATATTGATCGCTATTCAGTAATCAATTAGTTCTCCCTATATGGAGTCAATCACAGTTCGAATGACTCAATAGCAATCCCTCAAACTGTTAAACTGGATTCAAATCCCACAGAGAGTATCTGTATATTCAAGTTTTCAGGTACGCCTTTTTGAGGAGTTTCAGCTAACTCAAAAAACTAGGTTTATGGTTTCCTCCCAGCTAGACTTTGTTCGACTGTTACTTCGAATGATTAAGCATTTGTATAACACTTTTCACTACAGTCTAAACAATCAGTCAATAGTCGTCAATGTCTTATGAACCATTCATATTGATTTCATAAAATCCTATTGGCTTTATAGTAAACAAGACTAATTTGCCCATGATTATCTCCTGACATCGCGTCATTTAACCGAATCTTTACTAGAAATTTGATTCATTTGTTTATTTGTTATAGAATGGCTGAAAAGGCCGACGATTTATACTTGCCAAATGCAGTACTTCTTCGAATTATCCGTGAATCAGTAAGTGTTTGATTACATGTATCCGTGTGTGCTTCCAAGTGTTGTATTGAATTTTGTCTCGCCTTACTGAATCTATAGAGAAACCTGGAAATAATTTTTTTGTACTGAATTCGATGGCTAGATTAAGTTTTTTGAATATGTTCTTTAGCTTTTAACTGCTGTAGGATAAAGAGTAAATATTTTTAAGCTATTTGTAATTATTACTTTACTAATGAGACTTTCTAAATCCGAACTGATTACATTTGCTAATCGTTGTATACTACCCAAAACTACTTTTCCTAACTCTTAGTTTTTGTATATAAATTTAAAATTCGATCAAGGTAGATGAGAAAGTTTTTGGCATGTTTTCAAAAATTTCTAGATGATCAAGATCACATAAAAATCAATTAGTACATTAGATCCTTTGTACATACTTAGCATCGATACTAAGTCCTTACTCATTTTTTATGTTTGTTTTACTGTTGGAGTTGAAGTAGTAGTTTGCGGTTATAAGAAGTAGCTAGAAAGTCCGTAATAAACATCCCTGTGGATAACGCATTATTGTTTTGGGAGCAAAACATACTAAGTTCAAATCTCAATATGATAATCAACACGGATGCATATGTGTCCAACTGACAAGTTTCAAATATAAAAAAGCACAAATATGACTGTTAATCTATTTAACCCTTTTTTATGTATTTACCTTTACGTTTCTTTTTTTACCCCCTTGTCCCCTTATAGTTACCTGAACGCACTCTTGTCAGTCGTGAAGCACGTTCAGCAATTAGTAAATCGGCTAGTTCTTTCATACTTTATGTAACATCATTAGCCAGTGTGCATTGTGAGAAATCAAAACGTAAAACGTTGACAGGAAGTGATATATTAGCTGCTTTAAAAGAAATGCAATTTGATCATTTTATACCAGCATTAAACGCATTTTTAGATAGTAAGTAAATATTTTATACTATAGGAGAATTTTTACTGGTTTTAGAATCTTCATAGTTTATAAATCACAAACTGATCTTAGTTAGCCCGTTATTGAGAAGTTGGGAGCACTGGACGAGCGTTTCATCTCAGTATGAGACTATACTCAAAACGATAATCACGAGTGTCTTTTCTCTAATGCAGTTATCCTCCTTATCTTTGACTTTTTTCTAACCGCTTGTCATTGTTTTTAATTCTCTAGTTTTTAGTATACGTGAAGGCCGTGTTTTCAGTATTACGTTACATAATTGTACCAATCCGTTCCGTACTTCTCATCATACGTCGAATATCAAGTTTTAGTACAACTCGTCTTCGCTGTGTGTTAGTCATCAGTCATTGACGTGTTACATGCTAGTTGCCGTTGTCAGTTCCAAAGAGAGCTGATCGTAATACAGTAACTCAATTATTTCCGTAATTCCCCGAGTATTGTAGGTTCGTATTAAGCCCCCAAATAATGGGACATAATAATGTGCTGCTTGGGATGTGTTACACATCCATAAACCACGATCGATCTCGATACAACATGCTGTACGGTATCTGAGCATGTTTGAAATGAGATCCCATACTAAAGATACGTTCTATTATGCAACATTCATCCACTAAATAAACGGAGGAATGTTGGTATATATTGGGTACAGTACATTGAAAACGTTGGTAGTAATCCCATCTTTTCCTCCAATCAATGAGTTATTGTAATAATAACTTTAATATCTGTTTATTTTAAATCGTTTTCTCGTATTTTTCAATCTGATAAACACATCAGGTCAGAATTACATACTTTCACTTAATATATAGATTGCTTACTTAATCTAAACATAGTTCGATGTTTACTGATGCATTAGTAGTCGATTATTTATTGGCAAATTCTGTTACTACTAAGCAACTATTAGTAACATATTTCACTATTAATATTAACCTTTTTTCATTTTACCCGACCTTAGAATATCGTGAGCAGATAGTTTTTAAAAAATCGAATAAACGTCTGCATAATGATAATGAAGATGAAATATCTTCTGAAAAATTGTCTCAAATTCCATCATCTTCAACATCACATTTAAAACATCTAGACAGTAATGTTGCAACAGTTGAAGATGATGACAATGATGAAGTCGTTGGTGATGACGCTGATGAAGAAATCGAAGAAGTCGAAGATGTAGATGTTATAGAGATAGATAATGACGATGTCATTGAAATTACAGATACTCATATGGAAGAAGGTACCGTAAAAAATGATCAACTAGGTGTTGGTATTAGTGATGACGATGAAGATGACGGGAATTCTCAGAGCACAGAAGCTTTAAATGAAAACGAAGATTCATTTTAGTTTTCATTTTTGTTATTTTTTGTACACTTTTGTCATTACTATGAAACTCTATAAATTGAACTATACTAATGCATTTCTCCCTGATATTTTTATCAAGATATTCAAATATGCTGCATTTTTCTTCCGTAAATTATTTATGTTAAACTTCTTTTTCTAAATTGTAACAATTTTGATAAAAAAGAAACTTCTTTCAAATATTTTTACTAAATATATTTTAGATTGTTATGCTTCCTCCTTGTGTCTATCCATTAACTTTTTATGTACATTCATTGGACGATCTAAAAAATAGCCAATTTCCTACACTATATTGTGGTAGTCAACAGGAAACCCTAGACAGGGGTTTCGTACTACTTGGTACTCGTCAGCAAGGTGTACCTGTAATCTTGAGGGGACTGGTGCTACCTGACGGATTCGATCCCGTGTCACCCAGCTTCACAGTCAGACGTTACCATTAGGCTATCCGGGCCGTGACCGACCTCCTGTCGGGCTCAGATGTAATCAAAATTGATTGATCACTGGGTGGTGATCTATGTCATGTGTGTCAAGTTCTTAGTGCAGATCGAATGCTATAGACCAAGTTGCAATGCGGCCACTAGTTTAGGTGACTCGACATTGCGTTCAATATGTTGAGGTTAGATGGTGGTTGATTTATTTATTTATTTTAACACATAGGTATTGGTACAAGGAGGCACCAAATACATATGCACCACACGAATCTCAATTGATTTGTGTGAGGGCTGTGATACTACCCGGGTGCCCAAACCGAAGCAGGTGGTTTTCTTAGGGGGTCACACCACGAGCCTTTGACCTGAACGTCTGATCCACAAGGCAGTGGAGCATCGTAAGGAGATGCAGTCTCATTGTAGCCGGTGACCAACGATTGGTTCATACGCCATTTGATCCTTTGGGATACTGGAGCCCATGTGCACCATTGATTTGGGATCCGGTTAAAGCGCCGGAAATTCGCTTTTCGTCCTCTGAATTTCGTAAGCAACACCGCCGCCACGAGAAGGCAGTGAGTAGGACTTCCCTGGCAGAGGCTATAAACGCGTGGCCATGTGAGAGCATTTCGAGAGGGAGAATGGACTCTCCCCACTCTCGGCCGTAGCAGGGCATTTGGGGGCAGATGGTGGTTGGATGTGGCCACATTGCAACGTGGTCGATGGCATTGGATCTTCACTAATAAGGACTTGACACACACACCACTCAGTGATCAATCAATTGTAATTTCGTACACCGTTTCAATAACGTTTGATAAGGCCTGTTTGAAACTCGATAAATGATTTTTTGTTCAAACTGACGATTCATGTGATTGGTTTTGATGAAATGTAGTGACTAAAATATGTCACAACGGCTGCAGTATATCATTTGAACTAAAGTAGTTATTCGTCTGTTGGCTTTGAATTTTCTACCGTAGTGCATTCTGATGATAAGATCCTCAAGTTCTATCATGTAGATGACTATATCTTTTTGTACAGATGAATGACTGGTCAGTAAAAATCCAGTATATGAGCTAATCAAAACCGAATAAAAACTTTAGTCTACTAGGGATTCAAGACTGAATGAATTCGGTCTTTCATCACATGAAATGCTTGTTAAAATAAACTTTGTATAGTGCTTGCAATGTTTGGGAGTTAATGGAAAAAAATCCCATTTAGCAACAATTACAGTGCTAAATGTATCAGGTACTTACTATTCTCTTATGTACAGATTTTACATAACACAAGAGTAGATTAGTTCTTATTTCAACTTACTTCGTTGGTGGTAAACCCTAAAAGAAATTATTGATTCGCTGAATTACATGTCAGCGGGTGAACCAGATTAGCTAAAATAAATAATTTTAACGGATAACCTTTATATACCGATATAACGACAAGAATGGTTTGGCTAGTGATAATGAATTCTCAATGTAAGTATGTATGATTATGCGAGATTCAGGAAAAAAACTGAGTGTGAATAAAATCACATTCAGAACAATTAGGTTATGCAGCGATATCTCCGCAATATCAACAACAGGAAAATAATAATAATCCTTTTAAAAACAAATTATAATAGGTATCATTATTTCTGTTGAGAAATAAGATTGACTTAATATTGCTTACCTTCTAATTAATTGAAAGAGGACTTTAAATTTACCTGGTCTTTTTAAAAATCACGCAACTCATTTCCACTACCCTATACTACAACTTTGAGTGTAATCCATGATCAAAAAGACGTTGAGTGAATAATTAATTGGTCAAAATGAAGCCTACAATCAAGTGTAAATAAAAAAAAAAGTATTTGAGGAAAAATATTTAACATTAACCAAGAAATAGTTATCCGTCTAAAGGTTTGAAGACAGGTATATCAAGCTATATTAAACAAATAAAATTAGTTTTTGTCATTCTGTTAACTGATTGACAGCTCTGTTTTGCGTGTCATTGAACTTTTTTCTGGTCCAAATATATTTCCTCATAGAACAGTGGGATTATTTAGTCGGTTGTATCCCATATCCAGTATGTGTGGCGCATATGTATTCGGTGCCTCCTTGTACCAATATCTATGTGTTAAAATAAATATAAAATAATAAACCGTCATAAGAACATATTACTACTAATTGAGTGAATAGCTCTGATCCCAGCTTATTGTTATTCTGTTTATCAGTCTGCTTCTCTATTTTTCCTGCTTAAACTAAAACAACTTATCTTGAAACATATTGGCGTTTATTTGGTTCTAGAACTTTTGAAGGAACGTTTTTTGTTGTTAAATTCAAGATTAATACAAAGAGGATCGTAGCATTTAGAACAAATCAGATTGTATTATTTGAAAAGATACTCGTTTTTTTAACAAGGTACTTTTTTACGAGGTGGAGTTGCTACTCTTATTCTTAGCCCTCTTCTTTTACCTGGGTTCGGGACCGGTAGTAACCTTAGAAGAGCTCCAGGCTGAGTTGTTTGAAAAGATATCACTCATAAGTTGTTTCAACCGAACATTTGTCAGAAATATCTTAATTAAATGAATCAAAGATGCAGGCAAAACTTTAATCAGAGATGACAGCATTTCAGAGTTCAGCATTGTTATTGGATTATATATTGCTCTATTTTCAATTTTGTAAGCACTGATTTATATTAATTAAGTGATATTAGAAGAAGGACATAGCTAGAACATCACAAGAGTTTCAGAATGACAGATGTCTTATAGGACACAAGAGTTAGGAACCAATATTTTCTCAGTAGGTGGTCTGAAACCTTATGTTTGCGAAGGAATAATTCTTTTACAGTTTACCAATAATCATTAACTACTAGGAAGAAGAAAACTGAGGTAAAAACCTTTTATTTGAAATCCAATGGTTGATTTTATTTCAATGCCAAGTAATACATGATACAGGATGAAAATTATATAATCTCGTCGCAATTATTAGCAATCACTCCCAATATAATCATATCTCGCCAGTTATCACTTCTCATGGAATTCCATTTCATCAGTCTAACTGCATATCGTGCTTATAACGAGATATATGATTTCATTCAGCATGAAGAAAACTAAATCATGGTATTTAATACTTTTTGGGTTTTGTGTAATTCCATGAAGCAAAACACTGAAATTGAAATAATCTCAAATAAAACAAATTTGAATATATTTCTTTAAAAAAGTTGTATTCATTCAATCCGACTAATATAATCTATATTATGTGAATTGGAGTTGAATGTGTGTACTTATTGATTGAGTTCAGTTTTTCAACCAATGGATGGATGAGTGTTCAAAAGTAAGCACAGAAGTATTGATGGGTTTGATAGCCGATATCTGTGTGCATTTTTGATAATATATATCGCTGTGTGCGTATGTGTGTCTGTACGCATTTTGCACTAACTTAAAGACAATGTGAAATATACTGGTTAATTTCTTTTTCTATAATTTACTAAAAAATATTTGAAATGTTAGACTAAACTGATTTAATTTACTTATTACATTAATTCTAACTAAGTTTCTTCTTGAATTGCTTTAATAGTTAAAGGCTACATTTTGGGGGCAGTTTTATAAAATGACAACATTTTGCATAAACAGTTATGGAGAACTTCGAATTTAACGACTGTTGATTGTCTCAATGTGGAGGAGAGGATAAAAAGTCCTTTCAAGATAATCACAAAGTAATTATCAGTATGGGATTGCGGGATTATTAAGTTTTTGATTGACATCAAGAACCACTTGATGTTATACCACTAACAGGTATTCACGTGGGAGACTGAAGTCCCTGGGTTCGAATCCTGCAAGAGGGATTGTGGATGAGCACTGCTGAGCAGCCTCACAATAGGACGAAATGGCCATCCAGTGCTTCCAGGTTTTCAATGGTGGTCTAACATCAATCGGTTCATGATCTCAAACAAAGTAATTAGTTGAGCAGATGTTGCGTCTAAAATGTTACCCTCAACAATTATTCTACGTTCAACTGGATTTTGGTGGGGTTTTGTTCTTTCAGCAGGATGACTTGATCGTGAAGCTGTCATTGTTCTTCTGGACGACACCATCAGCACATACAATAAATAGAAGTGAAATGTTTGGATTTCTGCACAGAAAGCTGACTGCTTGTCCTATCGACCTCGATCTTAATTGATTATTGTTGACCTTTATACCTGTCATTTTCTACTTATTTGGTTTGGTTGTGTCTCCTTTTGTTAGAGTTCTTGATCCTATATTTATTCATGATTTTTCTGATTGATTGACAGATTAGATTGTTTTCAATGTGTTTGTTGATTACTGACTGACCTAAATGCCCTCTATCGAGGAGGTACTTAAAACAGCAGAGAATGGTTTAAATAATTGGCACTTCATTTATTACTTGTGCTATAGCTGAACTATTACTTACTGTAATGAAATCTTGGGCGGGGTAAAGAATGTATCATATTACGTAGACTTCGTTGACGAATATGCTGAGCATCATAATATTACATTATCTCCATTCTCTGTACTTGTCACTTCTTGCCCACAGTCATATAAGATACTATCTTCTAATAGTTTGTTGTTATGCAGGCTCTGCACTACTATATTCTTATGATGATCCATCAGTATAAGAAATACGGTCAACATTATTGCTGATAGCAATAACCTATCCGTCACCGAGTTTTAAAATGTTGAATGTATACATTCACGTAAACTTTATGTTGAAATGTTGACAACCATTGATCTGAAACATCAAATTAAATAACTAAAGTTGTATTCATGTCGGCCACTTCAACGACCTCTTCACCATGTACCATTCGCAGACATTATGTTTTGAAGATACTAAAATACGTTTTACTTTAATTATGATTTACTCTTTCA